TTTTTGGCAATAAGTTGTAGTTTTCCCACTTACAAAATAAAAAGTGCCCGTTGGCACAATATAGATTATAAAATGGTCATAACTCATAACTTGGTGCTAAATACCCTGTATAGTAGTGTCAAACCCATATTTTAAGAACAGGGATTATGAGAGGAATCTAAATATGAGAAAATATACAGGGTGTCCTATTTATAAAATTGTATGTTTGATTTACCACATAATTATTAATCACTCTGTAGAATTCGGTATATTATCCAAGACTGGAGAATATCATTGCCTACATTTTTTTCTAAATAACTTTTTTTGATATTCTGTACCATATCAGAATTATCGAGCAATGTCGCACTAAAAACTCACCCTGTATGTCCAAAAATGTCTCGATATATGTTTAGATATTTAATCATTAACTTTTTCTTAATTACGGCTCTGGAAGCTTTTCACCAAGCCTAAACAATATCAACTTCTTGTTATACGACGAAATCTAATACCTATCATAGCGGCTTCTGCCTGCTACATCCCTAATTATGACCACCAAATTAAAAAATAACTAAAATATCAAATTTCTTTCAACAATACCCAGAACCCGTGCCCCTAAAAATTTGGTTTTAATTATCATTGACACACTTTTGGCTCCTTAGAAGAAATATTTTAATTAGCAAATGATTCGGGACGAATGTGTTAGAGATCTCTTTTAAAAATAAAAGACTAGACCTAGAATTAACAGACATTTAATCAAAAAGAAAGTCACATAAGCATATTTAGATGATTCTCATACAGAAAAACCTACCGTTTCATCTTCTTTTTCATTTTCTACAGAAACTAGCCGAAATAAATTACAACTCCAATAACATGCTAGTTAGTTTCGACATTACCAGCCTATTCACTAATGTCCTTTGAAAAAAAAAAACTTTAAGAATGATAAGAATCAAACTAGAGAAGAAGGATACATTGACAACTAAAACAAAACTCTGATTGTATCAGCTATAATGGAGCTATTAACATTATACACTCACAACACCTATTTTATCCCTCTAACCATTTTTCTAAATGGTTTAAAATATCTGAAAATGTTTAGTTAGGGTATTTTGGGTAATACAAAAATTAATTTTATGTAAATTTTTTAATAATTAATATAGTTTGGCCTCCAGATGAAAAAGATGGTAGACCTTCTCTAGACGGATAAAAGGTTTAGATGTAATGAAAATTAGAACAGGTGTAATTTTCATTCTTCTTCTTATTGCGCACATTTCTTTTCGAAGGTTGGTGATCCAAATGGCAACTGTAACTTTGGAAACTGCTGCACGAAAAATTTATATATACCGGTTTTTCTTGCTTATGGTTTAGCCTGGCGGTTATAATCCGGTTTTCGGATTTTTTAATCCAATAAGTTACAAAGTTACATTTACAATGCACTTTAGTTATTCCAAAATAATACCTTACCTAATCCTTTTTTTTCGTCTTTATAGAGGGGGGTCTGGAATCTTCAAAAGACATCTCAGTCCAGGACGCCGCCTGACTGACCTTAGTGCAGGATTTGTTCTTCGTACTCCCGGCGATAGTTCCCGAGGTATTTTAAAATGCCCTCTCGTCGCCGAGTCTACGCCGAACGCCTACCTGCTAAAACCAGACCCTCCTCTGTCATCCACCGATCCGGAAGCGGAATGGCCGCTGTAAGGCCGGCATCACTTCCGAAGCACTACCTTTATTCTTTCTCATTCTCCATTCATACACATCCACACTCCTAGTTCGGCATCATTCTCAGAAGGGCATTTCCTCCTTCCCCACAGTCAAACTCACGCATTCTAACTCAAAAAGTGTGACCCACTGTTCTAACTTCACCTTTCAGCACCATTCACTCTACCTTTGCCGTTGGTCCAGCTGTCTTTCTTCTTCTTCCTTTTTTTTTATCACTGCACGGATATGCTATAACTGTGTATGTTAATCCAACCTAATTTATTTTCAATCATTCTCTCAATCATTTCTCTCACTGTAACAAAATTTACACCTGTCTCTCTCTCCATTCTGTTCCTTTCCACTATCCATCTGCTGCAATCTAACATCGTATGTGTCACAGTGTCCGAGTATCCACAATATAGGCATTCATCTGTATCAGCCTTACCGATCCTATAAAGGTAGGCCCTAAAACATCCGTGTCCTGTGAGCACCTGCGTCAAGAAATAATCCAATCGCCTGTGGTCACAGTCCACCCAAACTCTTATGTTAGGGATCAGCATTTTCGTCCACTGTGCCACATCCTCCGTATTGTTCCATTCTTCTTGCCATCTTTCAACGGACCTTTCCCTTACCTGTCTTCTCTCAGCCACAGTAAGGTTTGGGCCTCTTCTCTCATAAAGCTCTTGTCTTTCCACCGCCAAAACATGCAACGGAACACATCCAGTGATGGTCCATAAGGCTGCCACAGACACAGTCCTGTAGGCGCATGCCACTCGCAACAGACTTGTTCTGTCTACTCGTTTCATAAGACTCCTATAGGCCGTTATCTCTACCGCCTCGCTCCAGACTGGTGCTGCGTAGAGAACGATAGACTGTACAACACCGTGTAAGGCCCTCCTCCTTTCGGATTTGGGTCCTCCAATGTTCGGCATCACTCTCCTCAACGCAGCCGCACTATTAGCAGCCTTTCGGACCACCTCCCGAACGTGTTCCCCCCATTTTCCATTCTGGTGTAATGTCACTCCTAGATACTTGTTTCTTGGGTGTTAGACATACTCCCGCACATTTTAATTCAACACCTTGCCTGTTCCTTGTCCCCTTCACCTTACCTAATCCTAATCACCGTAAAAACTTAATAATCGGTTTTCGGTTAAAACTCATTCGCTGAGGTACCTCATGGATGGTAACTTTTTATAGGCATGGAATTCTTAGCATCTGTCTGTATATATGTATACATCTCAAAGGCATCTATTATTATTTCTATTTCAGAGTCCATTGTCCAACTTTCTCAGCCATACAGCAAGACAGGAAAAACATAAAATCTGATCATTCTGATTCTGAGTTCCAGACTAAGGTCTGATCTTATAAAAAATGTTTTCCTCGACTGTTCGGTTCTTGATATGATTTTTTTAGGCTATTGATATTTGCTCCCAAATATTTTATGGAAATTACCTGTTCTATTATAACGAGCACATTCTAGGAACTGCAAATTATGTTGGGGGAATTAGCAGCCAGCTCCCAATACGTCGGCCTAAAAATGAATATGAAAAAAACAAAAATAATGACAAACACAGATGACCCCACACATATAACTATAAACGGCAGTGAGATAGAACAAATCCAGGAATATATCTACCTAGGCCAAATCCTGACACTTGACAAAAAGAGAACCAAAGTGCGGCAATTACTAGAAGAGCAAGACTAGCATGGGCAGGATTTGGAAAACTTAGTTGGATACTTAAGAACCGCAAAATACCCCAATACTTAAAGAGCAAAGTGTTCAACCAATGCATCCTTCCTATCATGACATATGGATGTCAAACCTGGACCCTAACCAAGGCAAACATGAATAAACTAGCCACAACAGAAAGAACAATGGAAAGAGCAATGTTAGGTATACGACTGTCAGATAAGAAGAGGAACGACTGGGTAAGATCCAAAACAAAAGTCGAGGAAATAACAACAAAAATTGCCAAACTTAAATGGAGCTTCGCGGGCCACACTGCTAGACAGCAGTGTGGCCCAGATGAGATGATTTGATGACATTAAAAGAATAGCCGGAACAAATTGGAAATATGTTGCTCAGGATAGAAATCGATGGAAGGAGTTGGGAGAGGCATATGTCCAAACAAGGACGACAGAACGCTAAGAAGAAAAGAAGATTATTTGTCCTTTGATATACAAATGTATATTTATTGGTGGTTTTTAAAAATTTTAGTTTTGTAAACGTTTATAATATGTATTTATTATATTATGTATGACGAACTGCCGCATTTATTATATTTCGTAGTTCTTGTGCGTTACTTGCTATTAGGACGGTATCATCAGCGTAATGTTGTCTATGACAGGGGTCGGCAAACTTCGGCTCGCGAGCCACACGCCGATCTTTGGATGTGAAGCTGCGGCTCTTTAATTCCACATGCAAATATTATTTATTTTACAAATAAAAAGTTTTAAAAAGTCTTCTGAATCGATTAACGATGATTAGACACCGATCCTCTCAGTCACTGTGCTGTGCTTGAATAAATACATTCCTTAATGAAAAAAGCATCAATCTACCTGAATTAGGGAACGACAAATGGTTGCAAAAATTTTACTTTATGGTGGATATCACCTTATACGGTGTCGAAGCATGGACATTAAAAATGTCCACCATTAATCGTCTGGAGACCTTTGAAATGTGGCTGCACAGACGTATACTAAAAATTCCATGGACGGCTATGCTGACAAATGTGGCAGTCCTTGAGAGAGCAAATGCTGCTCGCGAGCTGCTTGATAACATCAAATGTAGAAAGATGGCCTATTTTGGACACGTAGTAAGAGGAGACCGATATAATATTCTTCAACTTATTATGATGGGTAAAATCGAAGGACGCAGAGGAATTGGTAGAAAGCAGGCCTCTTGGTTGAAGAATATCAGGGAGTAGACAGAAATAAGGAAAGCTGAGCAACTCTTTAGAAAAGCTCGAGACAGAGACAGTTTCGCCATGTTAATCGCCAACGTCAAGGGGACTTGATAAGGCACGTTAAGAAGAAGGTGGATATCACGCCCAAATTAAATTAGCTGAATCTAAATCTGCAAGAAAATGGAAATCCAGCCTATGTTTTGGCGGAAAAATTGGTTTGTTTTGAAGAAAAATTAATTCTTTTTGCAGAAGATATTCAGAGCGGTAAATTGCTTTATTTTCAGTTTCTAAAGCAATATTGCAATAAAACCAGTGCAACTGTTGACACGAAATACTTCAGCACAGTTACAAAAAAGAATTATAGATGAATTTGCTGGCAGATTTGAACAATTCAAAACCAACAAAACTACTTTAGCATTCATGGTAAATCCTCTCAACACAAATAGTAACGAAATTAAGGTTGAGCCATTTTTAATTCATACTGAATCTTTAGAAATGCAATTGATCGATTTAACAAGTAAAGCTTTGTGGAGTGAAAAATTTGCAGAATTGAAAAGGAAGTTGGAAGAGTTGGAAGTCCAGAAATGTATGTACGTAACGCAAAACAAGTGGACAACTTTTAAAGAAATGCCGCGAATTGAGGGACTCATATTCAACGCATGGAATAGTCTTCCAGATTGATACAGTGAGGTGAGGAAGTGGGCATTTGGAGTACTTTATAACTATCTTCGGATCGACATACTCTTGCGAGCAAGCGTTCTCTTGCATGAATATAATTAAAAGCAAAATAAGAAGCCAACTAACAAATGAAAATTTAGAGCCGTGTTTAAAACTTAAAACAACAAGTTATGAGCCAGATTTATCCAAACTTTCTAAAACCATGCAAAGCCAACGCTCTCATTGAGATTATTTGCTCAACTGTTTGTTATTGAAGTGCAAGTTAGTGTTATAAGTGAATATTTTAGTTGTTTTAATTTTTTACTTCAATAAATGAAATGTATGAAAATATATATGTGAAAAACACGGTATACCTACATATGAATAAATTGATTATTTTTTTTTTATCAAAAAACTTTATTTATATGAGTACTATTTACTGTTGACAAAGAAAATTGTGGCTTTTTAAAAACTTTAAAATTTTGTAAACTAATTTTGGATATCGTCTAATGATTTTCTAAACATAGACTCCGAATACAGATTAAATAATAGCGGTGATAAGATGCAACCCTGTCGTACTCCTCGTCGGATTTGTATATATTAGAAGGTTTAATTCTCTATTTCAATTGCTGTCGTTTGGTGCAATAAAATATATATATTTGGTACAATATGATAAAATATTGAGGCGAGTGTTATGCACCTAGCGCCACAAGATGACGTCGTTACGAGTAGCGTCACAAAATAGTGGTTCTTTACATCGATTCACTACTGTCGATCAATTCGTTTCTTCTTTTTCTTATAGTGCCGTGCACCTATAGTGCATTGGCGAATTAGCTTAAGGCCAGACGTCTGTCTTTTGCAGCATGCAAAAGATCGCCAGTGTTATTTAAGCCTGTCCAGTTTGCCTCTTGCTTCTTGCCTTCAATCTTTCCCTGGATGATTAGTTAAGGGATTACGTATTTTTTCCTCTCAGAATATGGCCGAGTCCAATTGTTCGTTCCTTGATCAAATTGAGTAGTTCTCTCTCAGTATTTGCCTTTCTTAAGACCCATATTGCCGTATAACAATATGGACCATACATTGCATTTAACCATCCTGTAGCGGAGATTGGAGGAAATATTGCGGAGGTTGCATAGTAGCGGTTTAAATTTGATAACAGCTTGTCTTGCTTATTCGGTACGGCATTTTATTTCTTGTTGAGGATCCCATTATTCATTCATCATCATTCCCAAGTATTTAAATGTTTTCACTTGATCGATTGGAGCATTATCTACTTGCAGTTGTATTCTTAAAAGTGCGTTTTTTATTATTGCCATGCATTTGGTTTTTCCAGCAATTATCTTCAAGCCATATATTTTTCCTACGGTGCTTATTTAATTTAACATCAACTGCATATTATGTTCGTTGTCTGTTATTATCGTGCCTCTGCAAAAAAATGTTCTCCATTTCACCCTTGTCACACCCCTCTTAAAATTTCAAATTCTTCTGTGTTGGTTGATTTGTTCAGTCTCACTTGTGCTTTTTGATTTCAATAGAGATTCTGGATAACTTACATCTTTCTCGTCAATATTAGCGTTGTCTAGCATTTTTATCATTGCGTCATGTTTTACGGTGTCAAATGCTTTTTCATAATCGAAGAATGTTATGACTATATCCTTTCGTTGATCCATGCAGTTTTGTACAGGCGTATTCAAGCAGAAAGCTGCTTCACGTATACCCAGTCCGCTCTTGAAACCAAATTGTGTCTCACCGCTTACATCTTCCAGCTTTCTGAATATTCTTGTATGAAGGATGCGAAGAAACACGTTAAGCAAATGGTTCATTGAACATATCAGTCTGTGGTCTTTGCATTTTGTCGCTCTTTGTGATTTACGGATCATTATAAAGGTTGAATAAAGCCAATCCATTGGAATGTGGCCAGTGTTATATATGGCATTGAAAATTGTTACCAGTATGTCGATGTTATCATTTTCCAACAGTTTTATGGCTTCCGTAGTAATTCCATCTGCTCCAGGGGCCTTGCCTAGTTTTACTACTTTTATAGCGTACTCCACCTCGGCGCGAATAATGGGACGGCCGGATAGATTTTCCGTCAGTAAGTTAGTAGTTTACTCTACCCATCTGGGGTATTTTTCCATTTGTTTTGTAACTCGACATTTTTAGGGGGTGTTGTGACATTAAAACGCCACGCTTGTCAAACGGGTTGGCGAGTTCGTGGATCAACCGCCCTCTCAGGGTCAGACGCTGTTGCAAGCCGCCCATTCTGCGCCGTGGATACCGTTATGGTCTTTATCCGTGACCCTGGACAAGGGACCCTAAGCAGGTACTAGTTTCCCGGGTCAGGAAACTCCTGAAATCTGCGGAGGACAGGGATTGATTCATTTTCCCTGGTAGGACTGTCCGAAGAGTTCCTACCCGCTACCCATAATCCCCCTCAATATATGCGAACGAAGGTATTCAATCAGTGCATTTTACCAGTTATCACATACGGCTCATAAACATGGACTTTCACAAAGGAGAACATCGACAGGATATCCAAAACACAAAGAGCAATGGAAAGACAGATGCTGGGTATCGGTCTTAAAGACAGAAAAAGAAACTCATGGATCGGAGAAAAAACAAAGGTGAACGATGTATCAAGACAGGTTGCAAAACTTAAATGGAACTTCGCCGGTCACACTCTCCGGCAAAAAAATGAAAGATGGAATAAGCGAATTCTACACTGGAGACCATGGGAAAAGAAAAGAAAAAGAGGAAGACCACAGATGAGATGGACTGACGACCTTAAGAGAAGGGCAGGAAAGGACTGGATGCAGATCGCCCAAAATAAAGACCAATGGAGATTAACAGGGAGGCATATGCCCAAGAGTGGGCGTTTAAGGCTAATTAGATAGATAGATAGAAGTTAGTAGTTGGCAGATTCGGTCTATTATCCGCAAAGAGGGACGAAGCATAATTTGCCCAGATTTTAGCTAGTTCTTCCTGGGTATGAACGTATTTTCCTTGATCATTCTTCAGGCAAGTCTCATGGTGTTTCTTGTATATACTTGAAATTTCTTTGACCTTTTTATGTAGTCCAAAGCTGTCTCCCTTTTCCTGTAGTGATTTCAATTCTTCACAACTTTCTTTCATCCAGCTTTCCTTTGCGTTTTTAATTCTTGCCCTTATCGTACGTTGGATACCCTTGTATTCCTCTTGATTCTGATGTATTTTGTACTGTCTGCGTTGCTCCATTAGATCAAGTATCTCTTCCGTCATCTACTCGTTTTTGTGATTTCTTTTTATTTTACTTGCGTCTACTTCGTCAGCCTCGACTATAGCTATTTTTATTTTCTCATAGGTTTCCTCTATGCCATTTCCTTGTATGTTTTTCAAGTTCTCGTTGATGTGCCTACTGTATGTAGATCTAAGCTCTTCATCTCTCATTAATTCTCTAGTGTTTATGTATTTTTATTTATGTAATCGAAGCCTTACATTCGCGATTAAGGGGTTGTGGTCAGACGAAATGTCCGCACCAGGGTAAGCGGCCACTCTTTTTATATAGTTGCGGAATCTTTTATTTATCAAGATTTCGTATCATATGACCTGGACGATTCGTTTTAGTCATCATATATTTATTCTACGCAGGTTTAAAGCAAAAACTGCATGAAAAATAACAATATACAGACATTAAATGAAAAGTAAAAAATTTAATGAAAATCTCTCGATAAAAGATTCGATTCGCAACGATTGTCAAAATTTTAAAGTCAGAAATGTCATTTAATTACTAACAATATTGAATCATCTGTTTAAATGTTTATGACGTTTCTGGTTTTAAAATAATTTCATATAAATACAATTAATATTTTTAAATATCTTATTTAGTTTATCCAATAATTAAATTTATTATCAAATGATACATAATTTTATTTTATTATTAATTTAATGTTTCGTCTAAATTTGACAGATCTATCAGAACTAAACAACGTATGCTTTGTTAATAAGTTACCAGGTGTCATTACAGATCGTCTTGTTGTGTAAAGAGCGATGCGAGGAAAATAGATGGAAATATAGATAAGGAAGAGAGGAAAGAGAACGATAAAGGATAGGCAAAGACAATGAGCGAATGATAGCGGAAAGGCAAAGTTAAGACTGCAATGGGTCCAAGAAGATCCTTCAAGAACGACTGAAGGATGTTCTCAATAAGAATGGAGATTGATTACATGGATTATTTTACGAAATAGACTGAGGCCGATGCGATACCCAATCAAAAAGCTGCTACCATTCCAGAGGTACTTGTTAAAGAATTCTTTAGCCGATTTGGTGTTCCCTTGGAGGTCCACCCAGACCAAGAGCGAAACTTTGAGGCAACCTTCCTCTAAAACGTTTGTAAATTGATTGGTATTAATAGGACCAGAACGACACCTCTGCATCCTCAATCAGATGGAATAGTCGGGAGGATGAACCGAACGATGGATAAACACCTATCCAAAGTTGTATCCGAACATCAAAGAGATTGGGACAAGCATATTCGTTTATTCCTAATGGCCTACCGCTCGGCCGTAAATAAAACTACAGGCCAGACTCGAACCTGCCTGATGTTAGGTAGTGAAGTTCGTCTGCCCTGCGACCTAGAATTTGGCTGCAATTCTTCCGAAGAACATATTGCAAGTGAGGCATATGTTGACCGCCTGAAGTTAAGAATGACATTCGTGAACTTGCCCGACAACACATCCAATTAGCCAGTGGCATAATGAAAGATCAATATCATTGTTGTGCTTTATAATCCACAACTTCCTCGAGGATTGTCTCCTAAATTGCAAAGACAATGGGAAGGTTCTTAGGAAATTAAAAAGAGAATAAATGACGTAATATATCGAATTAAGAAGTTGCCGAAAGGCAAACCAAAAGTAGTTCACATAGATCGTCTTGCTCCTTATGCTGGCTACAATAAAACAGAAGAAGCATAAACCCTTCAACAGGAGATCAAAGATAACCGGCGACAATGCTTTAATGAAGTTCAGCAGGATCTCTTTAGTGTTCCGCATAACGTGGCTCTAGCCCACTGTGTTGCCAAAGATCTTGAGATGACTAAAGGAATCTCGTGCGTATTCTATAAGAAGTTCAGTCGTTTGGACGAGTTAAAAAATCAGCAGCCTAAAGTTGGAAGAGTACTGAGATTAAAAGGTGGTCCTCGATCTTGGATGTATATGGTGACCAGCAAGTTGTATACAGACAAGGCAAGCTACGAGGATATATGGCGTGCTCTAACTAATTTGAAGAAAATTGTGTGCAATTATGACATCAACCATTTGGCCTTATCCAAGATAGGTTGAACACTAGAGGATCTGGATTGGAAGATTGTCAGAAGCATGCTTGAAGTGATCTTCCGAGAAACCGGCATACGAATTACTGTGTGTTGCATTCACCCGAAGAGATCGTGTCCTTCAAAGACAGTAAACTGTTATTTCTTTCTTGGGCATTTATGCCAACATGGGCCTTCATGCAAGCTTAATGTAAGTGTTTAATTTAGTTATTAAAATAGTGCCGTACTGTAAACTTATAAATAAATATATTAACATAAATTAGAACCGCTCGTTCTATTTATTACGACTTACCAACATTATTTAAAATCATTTCGAATAACACCGTATTTCGTTAAAAAACTCAATCATGCCATACCCGAAACGGAATATTTCTTAATCGAAAAATACTTTATTCTAATGGTAAATTTTAAAATAAACGATGTAATCAGCCGTAAGCGTCCTTCTGCAACAACAATCATTCAAATCCACAAACACACTTCTTCTTCTTCAAGTGCCCTCTCCTCTACGGAGTTTGGCAATCATCATTGCTATTCGTATCTTTGAAGCTTTGAAGCTGTTGCTTTAAATAATTGGTTAGATGTGCACTGGAACCAGTCTCTTCAATTGCGCAGCCAAGATATACGTCGTCTCCCCACGCTTCGTTTGCCCCGAATCTTTCCCTGGATAATTAACTGGAGCAATCGGTACTTTTTCCCTCTCATCACATGACCAAGATATTCCAACTTTCTTCTCATGATGGTGATCAACAGCTCCCGTTCTTTGTTCATTCTTCGAAGAACTACACTATTTGTTATCTTGTCTCTCCAAGGTATTTTCAAAATTCTTTTATATATCCACATTTCGAAGGCCTCTGAAATCGGCTGTATATCAAGTATCACAAAATTTTTTATTTAAAAAATTCCTTTTTATAAGAATATAAAAAACCTATCGGGCTACATCACAGAACTTTTTCGAAATAAGTTATGATAATGGAATAGTTATTCCGAAAACGTCCTATAATGTAGCCCGATAGAGTTTTTATATTTTTATATTTTTTTTAAATAAAATGTCTTTGAGAATAATTCAAATCCGGACCTGTTTAAAAGATTATTAGTGAAACAATGTTGCCAACTACTAAAATGTAGGCAACTAGGCAACACGTTATACGCCCAGAAAATTTGTGATTTATTTATTACTGATTGACAAATATATTTTTTATCTATTCATACGTTAGTTAGGGTACCTACTATCAAATAACTTAATTCATATTAATATAAAAGTAACACATAATTTAAAATAATCGAAATTATTTTGCCAACTCATAGCTACCAATTTCCTTTTGACGTTTTGTTTTTGATTGACGTGGAGGTGACAGCATGGTGACAGGAATGAGGAATGTGAATGTTCACTATGCAAAAGTGTTATGACATTTTTTGAATTGTTAAGTGTTAATCTGGTGTTAATGTAGTTAATATGTGAAAAACTTTTTGTCATTCCTCATTAAATAACCAAAAATGCACAGCCAACCAAAGCCAAAAAACCCGTGGAACCAAAATATTCAAAACCAACCAAAAAAGAACAAAAATAAGAATTTGCCTACACCGGGTGAAGTAAAATTTAAAGAAGCTCAGGCTAAACTACAAGCCTCTGTAAAGAAACATGTTAAGGAATACGAATCATCATCAGATGAAGAAGAATTGGAATCTGCTACTTTAATAGGTAAGGAAGAGTTTATTGAAGAATGTTCACTTTCTATTCTGTTGCCTGCAAGAAATTCTTTAAGACAGCACTAAATAACGGTTGGTGTTTAAATCATATCGTAAACCACACTCTTTTATAAAAATACGTCTAATCTAGTTCATTGCATTCAACATTGGACATAGCTCTTTCCTTTTATCTTTCAAGACATCAAAAACACTGATAAATTATTAATATATTATTAGTTAGTAATGAAAACTCTGCTTTATACTTTATATCAAAAGCTTTTCAAAGAATGTCTCCAGACTTGTTTTTAAAACTCTACTAGTTAGGCCAGAACTCACCTAGGATTTGCAGTGTTAGTTTGGTCCCCCCATTTACAAAGGAACATTAATTTATTAGAAGGAGTACAACGAAGAACTACTAAGCTACCCTGTAATTGTGGAAGATAACTATAAAACCCAACTAAGAAAGTTCAAATTGTCTCCATTAACTTATAAAGGAGAAAGAGGTGATGTCATATCTACTTAAAGAATTCTTAGGAGGGATTTTTGGAGAACATCAAACTTTTTTAATATCAAGGAAGATGCTAGATTAAGAGGTTATAATTATAAATTGAAAAAGGAGTCTTTTAAAACTAATGTGAGACACAACTTTTTAGTTAACTGAGTTTTTGATAAATGTAACAATTTAAGTGATAACATAGTAGAAGCTAGTAGTTTAAATAGTTAGAATATATTTGATATGATTTCTCTTCACTAGAATAAATTTTGTAATCTTATGTATACTTTGTAATATTTGTATTTCCATAATTTATTATGATTGCAAGAACTTTTTCTAAATACTAATTCTTTTGGATATTATTTTTATTTTTACTTTGTTAGAAAATTTGATTTAAGTATAATATATTATTTAGTTTAGTACCTACAAATATTTTGTAATTTGGGCCACAGAAGCATTGCTTTGTTCTATATCATTGTTTAATAATAATAATAAAAATTGTGATATTTGCGGATTATGGTAATACCAATTCTTATAAAAGTTTAGATATCTTTTTTATATAGAACAATAATGCCTTTAAATGAATAAATCATATTTTTTTAATTCAGACTCAATTTTGAAGAACTATAGAACTGGAAATGGAGAAGAAGAGAGCATTGAGAAGACACAAACCTTTCTTCAAGAGACATTTCTCTCTGGAGCAGCCACATGTTTGATATGTATTTCTAGGGTCAGAAAGGAAGATCAGGTAATTTTTAATGTCACTAACTTTTGTTTAAATTTTGATTTTGTTTAGTTCTTAAAGGCTTTTACTTTTTATTTTGCTTTTTTAAAAAAATTATGAGAACTTTAGTTATACTTTAGTTCTTTTGTTATAGATATGGACTTGTATAAACTGCTATGGATATTTCCACCTAATGTGTGTTCAAAGATGGTCAAAAGACACTGTCACACAACTGAAACATGCTGCCCAAGAACAAATTATAGTGAAACAACAAAAACTTTGCTGGTGTTGTCCAAAGTGTAGACATGAATATGATCCTCGAGATATTCCTTTGAAATATTTGTGTTTTTGTGCTAAAACTGAGAATCCAAAATATGATCCTTATATTGCGCCTCATTCTTGTGGGCAAATTTGCAAAAAGCCTTTGAAACCAGATTGTGGACATCATTGCTTATTACTCTGTCATCCAGGTAAGTTCATTACCATAGTATTTCTGCTAAAAAATGTTATAAAACTGTTTGGTAAACCTATTATATTACCAAACATTGGAAATGATTTTGTGTATGGTAATGGTACAAAACAGGAGAACGAAACTTCCTACTAATGAACAGAAAAAAATCTAGTCGTTTTAGGAAGAGCATTGTAACCAACAATTCTTTGAATTTCTGATTTTTCATCAAAAGTGATCCTAACAAAAAACTTTTTCATTTACCAAAAATCGTAAGCCGCATGAACACGCTTGTGAAATTAAAAATAATAATGCATTTTATTTTTAATAACACAAGTATCTACCCTTCGATGGCAAAACACTATGCACAGTGTTGATAAACTAGTTTTAGAAGTTTTCTTGTGAATAAATTATTCTTTGTTTTTTATTTTAATCAATACGTAAATTCGATTGCAGTGAAAAATATTACGACAAAAGGTATGTACTTAATCTTTAAACCAAAAATATTCATTTTTGTTTCTTCTTAACTTAAATTAACCAAGAACAAATTGTTTTTTTTTTGGGATCTTGTATTTTCATTATCATACAATCCAATTAACCTGTCACTATCTAAAATTTACAGCAAATCCTACTCGGAAACAAAAAATCACATGTATAAGAAAACAATTCTTTAAGAACATGTGTATATATTTTTCTTGAGATGAAGTGGTAAACGATTTTTTTTTTTGGAAATGCTGTTAAAAATGTTTACGGTCAGGTGTCTTTTATTTTTGTAACAAAGTGCAAGAAAGCTGAATATCGCATTATCATCAAATGCATTAAAAAACCATTTCACAGAGAGTTATTTTAAATAACATGTATGAGTGTGTTCAGAACTGGATTAATAGTAATGTACCAGATTGCTCTCCAAAAATTACACGATAAAATATCAGAAAACTTGTAGATTATTCATCACCTTCATCTTCTACATCATTGCTGGATGCTGTACCTACACAAAACACAAAATCTTGTTTAAATATTAATGTTGCTCCACTAAATAATCATTTTGGAAATTCAGAAATATCATTTAATTGAGAAATTCAACAAGAGAATAGCTCTGATACTGAGAACCTGAGAAGTATGCTACCCAATGAAGATCTTTTACTGATAGGGTAAAGAGGAATCTGAAAGCAACAGCCACTATCGAAAAAAGTTTTGAGGAGAATTGAAAAATGCAGTACAACTAAAACTTTGTCTTAATAAAAGAAGCAGTATTAAATGTACTGGAAAGTTATGTGAAGAAGATATAATTTTTTTTTTTTTGAAAACTCTTGGGGTATGGCAAACTCACAAAGGCAAAGAGATTTAATCTTATCCTGTATGGTGGAAACTCCAATTAAATCAAAAACGCTGAGTCTAAGTGAAGATCAAAAAATGACATATTCCAAATAATAAGGAAAAAGTGAAAGTTTTTGGAAACTTATGATAAAGTAATAAATTAAACAACTACTGGCTGTTCCTTCTCATTACTGTAATTATATCTTCCAGCCGAGTTTGAGAATGTTACAACCTGGTATCGTTTATACAAAAATATCTGTTTGACTGTGAGAAACTAACTGAAATTGTATCAATCTGAAAGATAAAGTATTTACCTATCCTTAAACAAAAGGAAAAAAACAGAATCTTACCATAAACACATTAAAGATAAAGAAAGGTGTCTTGAATTTTTTTTGAAAGACCAAAATCTTTTAAAAGAAGGATCTGTGCTGTATCAACTTTGATCTGGAGAAAGTACTGAGTACTCGTCAGGGAGAAAGTATCAATTTATTTTACTGTAGAAAGTGCTAATTCTATATTGAAACATTTTATGAGAACGGTTCTGCAAACATTTATTGTTACTTGTGGGGAGTGAATCAGATGCAAAATATTGTAGCCACCCATGAAACAATTTATCTATATTGCGATAGCTGTTCCGGACAGAATCGGAACAAAGAAATGCTAGCTATGCTATCATACTTCAGTGAAAGGAGTGAATTCATAAAGAATATAAAAATAACATTTCTGGTACGAGAACATACAACGATGCCCGTGGACTTCGCGCACAGTAGCATTGAACTTTTCGATCGTCGCAAAACGGTGTGGTCTCAAAGAGTGGCCAACGATTGTATGCGATTCAAGAACAGATCCTTTTAACTATGCTGCTCAGTCATTTTTTTTTTCTAATTTTTTAAATTGGAAATATTTCGCTGAAACATCAATACCAAACAAATTTAAAATCGACATTAGAAAACTTCGCATAGCCTATGTTTAGTAAATATAACCCACAAAGTTTCATTTTAAAGATAGATTCTTTGATAATACTGAACTGAAAAAAAATGTAGGAAATATATGTATTTTAAGAGCACGCCGTAGAACAATACAGCTCCCCAACAGTTCTACAATAATAGTCGACTCAAAATTGCGTCAGCTAATTACTTAAATCTTAAAAACTCTGTGATGAGGGTGTTATCCCAGCAGAGTTTAATGATGACTTCCTTTTATTACCCACAGTGGTGATATTACAGACTGCTTAATGGAAACATACTGAGTATATAAGTGTATTAAGTATATTTAATATTAATTTAAAAAATCCCCTATAAAATTCTACTTTTTCTAGTTACGATGTTTTTCCTGAAAGGGCTCGAAATGTAGACTTGTATTTGGATTTGTGTTGTCCATCGTATTTGTTGGAATTTAATCTCTTGGACAATATCATTATCATTATAAAGTTATTTTATTCCTATATTTGTTCTTATTTTATACTGGTTTATGGTCTATTGTAGGGAATACGAAATGAAGACTGTATAATATGAAAAGACTATGAAGAGGATATGTATGGGCCTGTTAAGTTCCCATCCTTTCTCTAGAAGCTGTCTCAGTATATATAAAAATTTGATCTATTTGCTTTAAAACTGGCTTCATATTCTCTCATAATGTTTTCACTCTAGGGGAATAGTCTACTTAGAAGAATATTTCACAGGATTTTCTATGTAGCTAATACATTGTGCTTTGTTCCCATTTTTTTTTATGGATGCTATGATATGTTCCTTCCATCTTGTTTGTATGAATGTTTGTAGTTCCCCTTACTATATCATATTCTCAAGAGCCACCTTAAATATTTGCCGATAGTGTATGTATATAAATAAGTAATAACTGATGTAAAAATATTTAGGTCCTTGTCCACCCTGTCCAGTAACTGTGAATGTTTCCTGCTACTGCGGTCGACAACAGCCCAGAACACAAAGATGCAGCAAAAAGGAATGGTCTTGTAATGACGTTTGTAACAAACCTCTCGAATGCAGCAAACATAACTGCCCCAATCCTTGTCATCCTGGGGAGTGTCAACCGTGTCCAAAGAAGAGTATACAAAAGTGTATTTGTAAGGCTCAACAAAAACTTCGTGAGTGTGCTAGTCCTGTATGGCAGTGTGACAAGGTAAGTTGACAAAGAAAAGAGCATGTCGTCGGCTTATTGCCAAAATTAAGCCAACTCCACTTTTTATTGATTTTGAGTTAAGTATTCCTTTGGTCCAAACAGATTATAAATGTGGGAAACAGAAGGGGTTAAAAATAACTAACTTCAATAAAAATACTTTTATTCGGCCAAAATCAGATATGTGCACTTATTTATTAAAATAAAAGTAATATTGTAATATTTTTAATATTCTAGTTCTGTCATAACAAGACTAATGCCAGTTAGGTTCTTTTCGCTGAACTATTTCGGTATAAATGCATAAATTGCATATAATGACTGTACTTAATTCTTAACGTAGGACGATATTGTAGATAGATAATAATTGTAAAGATGTACATTATCAATCAGTAGAGGTTTGGACTTGTCCGCGTCCACATTATTTCAACTTTAAACATAAGTAACGGAACCATTAGTTGACAGTGATCTAGTAGTTGACAATATAAGTTTCATTTTCACAAAATAAGATAAGTTGTATTATTAGAAACCAGAGATCTACAGGCTAGAATAGTAGTGCCATCTATCCGTTCATCCCACAAGTTAAAACTTTCTACCTTTTGCAAATTACAGTTGGCCACTTTTGTGTTGGGGATACAATTAGTATTTTTTAAAGAAAAGTGTTTAAAAGGTTAATATTTTTGCACTACATATGGCATGTTTATTTGTTTGTATTAATTTATTGTAAAACTCGAATGTATATTGCAAGCTATAAACTAACTCAATATATGCTTAAGGCTCATCCTCGAAAATTCTAACGGTAAATTTCAGTTTGCTATCTCTATTTCAAAAATTTCTTTCTTTACGAAAACAAAATCTGTTCATGAAGTAATATTCTAAACTTCGTTTAGATATCTCTCTCAAGCCCAGGTCAAAAATGCGTTCATCTTTTACTCGAGCCGATTATACACCGGGACAACCCCTGCAGTGACAGGTTTTGGCTTAGGTACAATAAAACCATAAATCTCTTTAGTGGTGTTTTAAGTAAATATAATAACAGATCAAAGTAATATAATCTATTCATAAATTTACAATTTAACAAATGTACATAAGTACATAATTTATTTGTTATTTTTTTTACGGAAAAATTGGCTGTCTGAATTTTAACGTAGATTAAAGTTTACGGAAAATAAAAATTATAAAACAAAAGATTATTATTATATATTATAAAAATTTGATTAGTATCACGATCATTAAAATTGATAAAATGAAACTATATAAATATAGAATTATGTCTATTGTTTCTTCAGACGGTGTTTCAAATAAAAATTATAATAAAAATCTTGAAATTTTTGTAGCATATTTTCCCACAGTTCCATATATTTATCAATCTTTTCGAATAAAATATTTTTTGGGGTCCATACCGTAAACTAACCGTATTCTCTATTCGATATAAATAACAAAATAACTGTCCTTGCACTGGATAGTAATAGAAATCAGTTCTTTTTCAAATTTCTTGAAGGAAGGAATAATTTAGTCACGCTATCATTTCCGATTTTGATTTTTGATATTGAATTTGATAGGTTGTGGTTTATTACACCAAAATCTAATAAAATATAACATGACACAAGAAATAGTTTCAGAATAAGTTTGATGTGTTGTTTATTATCATTCAGTAAGAGACTAATTTACTTCTTACAATGCTAATCTAACAGACAATTATTATTGTCAAATGAAAGAAATAAGATAATTTGCTTGGGTGCTTGTGGTTAGTAAATGTCGGCCCTATGCAACTAATTGTCAACAAAGAACGGAGTACAAAAGTTTAGATTTATGAGATTTATGAGGAGCATTTATGAAACTTAGATGTATACTGAGTACTTATTTCAAAAATTTACAACTAAGGATTTAATTTGTTATATGTAAATATACTCCTAGATCTAGAGTAAATGGGAGTGCGACAATGGGAATTACTGGCACAGGACCGAGAAACATGGAAGGCAATAGTAACCGCGGCAAAGACTTACGAAGAGTTGTAGCGCCATTGATGATGATGATGATGATGATGAAATATACTGTATAACTATTTATATGGATGTGAAATATGGATCATGAAGGATAATATGATGGACATTTTAGGATGTACGTTGAAAAATTAAGGCAAATATCGAGCACAAATTTAATAATCAAATCTTGCCCAAGTACTTTTGCTTTCTACAGCATCATCAGGGGCATCTGAAATAAGCCAAGAAAAGTTTTTTAAATGAAGAAAATTAATAAACTTCGATAACAAACACGAAGTTAATGGATGATAAAAGTTTTTTGTGATTACCATTTTAGACTTACTTCGTCAAATTTGGGCTATCCAGCAAGCGCAGATGCCCCTGATGATGCTGTAGAGAGCAAAAGTACATGGGCAAGATTTGATTATTAAATTTGTGCTCGAAATTTGCCTTCATTTTTTAAAGTTCATTTATTCGAGCATTCAACCTTATATCAATAATTTAGGATGTGACTCAGGTATATGATAAAGTATGGCAAAGACGCCATAACTATAAACTAAGACTACATTTACCAAAACGATACTCTCAAATAATTGACTCCTGCATCTTGGAAAGATATTTCAGAATTAAACAGGAAGAAACATACATGGAATTGACAGATATTACAGCAGGGCTGCCACAAAGAAGTGTCTTTACCTTTTGTATACGTGTTATATTATTGTCCTAGAAAATATACAATTGCAACATTTACCGAAGATATTGCTATCATAGCAATATGCAAAACCAGCGAGGAAGCGACAAAGAAATTACACAGATGTTAATCAAATATATACTCCAGGGAAATAAGCAAAAAATAGACCATGTTCGTGACACTCAATAATCCAGATCGCTGACAACTTTTTTAGTTATTGTAGACCTCTAGGAAGAAAACCTACTTGTTTCTTACCTTAAATTTGGAGCTGTTTTTTAATTATTGACAATTTAATGCAAAAAACGCGACTGTTTCTATGATTATTGATACTAGTATTAAAAAAAAATAGATTTTTGGAAGAAAATTGTTTTGCACGAATTGTTTAAACAAACTAGACTATTTATTAATTAATTAATATATAAACAAATTACTAATTCCTAATGTACGTAGAAATTACATACAAATTAAAACAAGAATGATCAAAATCCATTGAGTAGATCCGGAGATATAGAAAATTTGATTAGTTTGAAATTGCTTGTTCGGTATGGATTTGTAGGTTCTTCCTAGTCACCATTTGAACTACATTTTTAAAAATTCGTAGAGGGTCCTGTAAAGGTACAATGTTTATGCAATTTTTTTAACAAAAAATACAAATCCCATTCCTTAATATGGCAAAAAATGAGGTTCCTTAATTATTATAATCAAATTAGCTGTGAATTATCATCTTTTCTTTGACTTAATCTACTACTTGTTGTAATTGGTCGTAAAACACTTCCCTTGTTGTTTGAGGCTTATTATTTTCTGGGCCGTATACTCCGATAATGTTCAGGTTTTCCTTCTCCATTCTTATCTTTGATGTTACTATTCTTTCTGATATGTATTGACACTCTTTGATGTAATTTTGATACCTTTGGTGTATTAGTAAGGCTACACCTTCTTTGGCCTTGTTTTCTTTTGCTACTCCACTGTAGATTAGTATGTATTCACCTAATTTTGATTGACCTTTTCCTTTATTTTTTGTTTGCTGTAGAGCACAAATGTCTATTTCTTTCTCTTTCAACACTTGGGTTATTTCTTGGTCCCTTGAGTTGAGTGATCTGATATTCCAAGTAATTCTCATCTGGGTTTTGGATGTTTTTCGCTTGTCCTTATTTCTTGCCGTAGTCGTCTTCATAGTATCAATCCGGTTCCGAGAATGTACATTGTTTCTTTGAGCAGTATTTGATTTTACGATTGGTAGGTTGCTAACCAATAAATATAAATAATTAAATTTCATATTCAAATACTGCAAAATATTTGGTTATTACTCTGAGCTCATGTAAAGAAGAAAAGAAAATAATAATTCTGATTGAAATACAAAAAAATGTACTGGATGATTGACCAAAACTCTACGCTGTTTCTATAAAATAAATTATTATTATATAAGCAAATACTGAAACAATAGTATTATTATAAAAACAGTATAAATATTTAGAAGGAAAATGGAAAATCAACAGAAAATATTTCTATTCATATAAAAATTTAATAAAATTATAGGTACTTACTGCTTATTTATATAAAATTTCCTATTTTAAATACAATAAACACACTGGTTTGTCAAAAGTCGGAATAAGCCCTAATAATGTTATTCAACTTTATTTATCCTCCTCCGAGGGTTTTACCTACCTGGCGAGAATCCAGAAGCTACCGACAAGGACAGCCGGTGCTGACGGAGAGAAAATTGCATTTAGCAGAAATTTGAAATTTTTTAAAAGTTTATATCAAATAGCTGCTTTGTGTTACACTTTATGTTAAAAATAAAAACAGATTCGGAAAGTGGGTCAAATTCTGTAGTGCCCTATTTCAAAAAAACAATTTTACGTTTATTTTAACCAAAAATATTTGAAAAAAAAAATTCTTTAAACAATTTATTAATTTACAACCAAATAGTGTACTAGAACTTTTTTAGACCATCCATCTAAAAAAGAATCATCTCAATATCTGTCATAGTTTTTGCGTTATTTGATATAAACTTTTACATTGGAATTTACCTATGCCCAGAATCGCGAGGATCGGCCTTAAGCTGTTAACTACTGGTTGTCTTACCTTATCTAGATTTATTTTATGCTAGTGTTGGTGAACTTCTTATTAATCTTCTTCAAGTGCCATTTCGTTGACATAAGTCGACAATATTAGGACTTTAGAGACGGCTACTCCAAAAAGTTTATTTAATCTACATCTGTACCATTCTCTCAGATTGCGCAGCCATGATATTCTGCGTCTTCCTATGCTTCTTTTTCCTTGAATCTGTCCCTGCATAATCTATCATCCATAAAAAATAAATTTATGGAGCAGTTCTATTAAAATATTAAATTTCGTAATGCAGATTCCCTGTAGTGAAGTATGTAAAAACTTAACGGTGTATGAAGGTGTTAGCTCATACTGCTGTTCATGGACCGAGCTTAATGGAAAAAAGGAAAGCCTGGAAATCGGTACACGCCTATTAAGATATATCGATAAACTATTCACAGCTGTAACTGAACTGCCTTGCTTATGTATTTACTACAAACAAATCCTAACTTATCTGTGATAGAACAGAAATTTCTCGAGAGTGGACATGGGTGTAGATACCACTCTATTGAAAAAGCGCAAAAGTATGTTCAAGTTTACACCATGCATAATATTTTTTATACGAGAAGGGCTTGCAGATCTGGTAAGAAACCTTATATTATAGAAGAACTCGAGTATAAAGACTTTTTGACTTGAGACGCTGTCAAAAGTAATACTGAAAAATAGGACAAACAATACAAATAATGGAGAAAAAGTTATCTGGCTAAAAATAAAATGCTTGAAATATTTAAAATCCAAACAAGGAATTGGGTTGTAAAGGTACTATCACAGTTTTGACTTCAAAGAAATAAATATTTTTGATAAAGGTGGCCCTGTTAGTCGGAGCAAAATATACTAAGGCACACCCAAGCCTCGGCTTATTAATTAAAAAAAAAACAGGCTCTGTTATTGCTCTACCGATCAGGAATCATTCCGCATGCGTTTCATCAATATTATAAATCGTTACCTGCTTCTAAGGACATCTTCTTCTTATTTTTATATAGACATGACTCTGTCTGTTTTTTGAAAAATATTTTTCTTATTTTTTTTTAATAAACAACGAGGATAGATGCCTTTAAACTAAGAACAAATGAGCAATTCCGAGAGGTCTTAGCGGATAAGTTCGAATCTGATCCTTCACATAATCAAGATCAAATTGACGAGATTAAAAAACATAAACAAAAACCTTCTCGCAGCCGCACTACAGGTCGCAAAGAAAACAAGAACTAAGGAAGACAAAATAAGCAATGAAACTAAACAACTAATGACGGAAAGAAGACAACTACTAGCGCAAAACAAACGCTATACTCAAGAATACAGAGAACTTAATAAAACAATGAGAAAAGAACTAAAACGCGACATACAAAAATGGAACGAGAACTTAATAGAGTGAGTCAGTGAAAACAACAGAGGCTTAAAATGTCTAAGACCCGCACTGAGAGTTCAAAAATTCATTAAAATTAAAGACGCCAACAATAAGGAAGAGAAGAACAAATATAAAATAACAAATATTGTCGAAGACTTCTGCACATCCTTGTACAGCTCGCAATGCCAGCCTAATAAAACAATAAAGGAGAACGTCAAAAGAAAAATAAAAAACGTGGGATCAGAAGTACTAGCCAATATAAAGGGATTCAAAATAGAAAGAGCTAAAAAATAATAAAGCTCCAGGACACGACGGTATAATTGTCGAGCTCTTGAAAACAAGCAAGACATTAACAATCCCTGTACTAACAGAGCTATTTAATAGATGTATCTATAATAGTAAAATCTCTAAAGACTGGAACGAGAGTCTAGTAATACTCTTACACAAAAAAAAGGACAAATGTGATCTACAAAATTATAGACTTATATCGTTGCTCAGTCAAGTATACAAACTATTTATGAGAATTTTTAACAACCGGTTGACCTACAAAATAGACAATTACCAACCGGTTGAACAGACTGGCTTCCGCAAAGGATATAGTACATCAGACCATCTGCTGACGATGAGAACATTGGTAGAGAAGGCAAATGAATACCAACTACCCGTATTTTTTCCCTTCGTCGACTATGAAAAGGCGTTTGATAGTATTAAGATGTGGGCCATAGCACAAGCTATTAATAATTGTAGAATAGATTCGAGATATAGGCAACTAATACATAATATATATGAAAATGCAACTATGATAGTACAACTAGACGAAAATACAAATCCCATCCCTATTAAGAGAGGAGTAGAGTAGAGAGGAGAGAAGACAAGGAAACGTAATATCGCCAAAGCCTTTCAATCTAGCCCTAGAAGACGTCTTCAAAACTACAAATTGGTCAACCTATGGCATTAACGTTAATGGCAACAAGTTAATAACGTATAACTATAAATGGCAGTGAGATAGAACAAGTCCAGGAATATATCTACCTAGGCCAAATTCTGAAACTTGACAAAGAGAACTTAAGTGCGGAAATTACTAGAAGAGCAAGACTAGCATGGGCAGGATTTGGAAAACTCAGTTGGATACGTAAGAACCGCAAAATACCCCAATACTTGAGGAGAAGTGTTCAACCAATGCATCCTTCCTATCATGACATATGGATGCCAAACCTGGACCCTATCCAAGGCAAACATGAATAAACTAGCCACAACCGAAAGAACAATGGAAAGAGCAATGTTAGGTATACGACTGTCAGATAAAAAGAGAAACGACTGGTTAAAATCAAAAACAAAAGTCGAGGACATAACAACAAACATTGCCAAACTTAAATGGAGCTTCGCGGGCCACACTGCTAGACAAAAAGACCAATGTTGGAATATTAAAATACAACATTGGAGACCTTACGAAAGTAAACGACCAAGAGGAAGACCACATATGAGATGGGTTGATGACATTAAAAAAATAGCCGGAACAAATTGGAAATATGTTGCTTAGGATAGAGACCGATGGAAGGAGTTGGGAGAGGCCTATGTCTAAACATGGACGATAGAAGGCTAAGAAGAAAAAGAAATCATTTTTAAATTCAAACGATTTTGCATTTTAAATTAAAGTTTAAAATGTAGATTTCTCAAAAGTTTGAAAAGTGAAGTTCGCTGGTTTTGGCAGTAAGCCGACGATATGTTTGTTTAGTTTTTTGGATTCAACAAAATACCGTGTTGTGCCTTTTTCATATTATTACCATATATTGCACAGGCTTTTTTAATAGTTAACCATTTTAGGTATGTAATAAACCACTGGAATGTGGTTACCATAAATGCGAAGAGATTTGCCACGAGGGCGTCTGTGATATGTGCCCATTGGCAAAACTTCGAACTTGTCCGTGTGGAAAAACTACATACCAGTTGCCTTGCACTCAAGAAACGCCCACCTGTCCAGATACTTGCGATAAAGTACTAGATTGTGGCGTTCACGGTTGTAATTTAAAATGTCATAGAGAAAAGTGCGGTGTGGTAAGTACTTTTTAAATTTTTGAAATTAATAAATTTGACAAACGACTTATTGCAGTAACAGCGACGTTATAATGGGTTCATGATATATAGGATATTAATGGTATTGATTTTCAGTGTCTTGAAACGGTGGAAAAATCCTGCAGGTGCGGTCAACATACCAAAGAAGTCCAGTGCTATAAACCATATTTATGTGAAGTTAAATGCAAACAAATGAAGGATTGTAACAAACATCCATGTAATAGAAAGGTAAGTGTAATTAAAAATTATGTCATTATCTTTTCAGAGCTGATTATTTTTTTCTTTATCTTTTTTTTTGTATAGAAAGTACAGAATCCCGTGCATCTCGTTATGGCGGCTCTTAGTTAGAGTTAAGTGTTTTGTCACTTTTTAGACGATCTCATTTGTTGTTTTATTTCTAAGCAGAATCTGCACTCTAGTTAATCCCATCAGCTTCAACAGCTTACAGTGCCTTGATAACAGACCTACTATAGCTTTGACTGTTTTCCTGTCTTTGCTTATTAGGTCTTTTGTAAATTTTAACGAATGTTCAATAACGAACCGGGTCGCCTGTCTTTGTACTGGTGAATTCATCTACCATTCCAGAGATTTGTGTGTTACCCACTTTCTTGTAGCTGTTCTTGTTAATGCATTTGCAACGCCGCAGAAGGGTTCCGGTCTAATGAATGTCATTAATGAACCTTGTTTGGCTATTTCATCTGGTTTTTCATTGCCCTTATGACCCTTGTGCCCTAGTACCCAGGTTACCGTAACCTTACTACGGCCCCTAGTTTATTTAGGACACCCACACAATCGTATAATACCTTAGAATTGACCTCTACAGAATTTAGGACCTTAAGCGCTGCTTGGCTATCTCTGAAGATGGCAATTGAATGGGGCGCTCTTTTCTGCTTTTCTATTTCTTCCACGCAGTGATGGATTGCCGTTATCTCCGCTTCGAAAATTGTGACCTCCTTGGATAGACTCACCGGGAAATGTATCCCTTGCTTTGTGCCTACTATACCGGCTCCTACACCCTCATACGTTTTTGAGTAATCAGTGTAACAGGTAGCTTCTGCTTGTATGGGTACACATTCCTTCCAGTCTTACCTGCCGATATTAATTTTGAATGTATTGTTAAAGCTATATCTCATTTAACAACAAATAACATTTGCTAATTTAAAATAAAACTACGACGTATCGAGCAAAGGAACGCGATTTTCTGATAGTGAAATATGCTAACTTTCGCCATATACTCTACAGACTTATTTAACATAATATTAATTCCAGTGCTGCGACGGAAACTGTCCACCTTGCGAAAAACCTTGTGGTAAAACTTTAAACTGCGGCAACCACAAATGCAGTTCAGTGTGCCACCGAGGACCCTGTTATCCTTGCAGTGAAACTGATATCGTCACGTGTAAATGCGGAGCTACCAAGATATCTGTTCCTTGCGGTCGTAAACATAAAACCAAGCCTCCGAAATGCGCCAAGTTATGTCTGTAAGTACATTTTATGAAATTTAATAAAAGTTTTTGTTGTTTAAGATCGACAGATCATTTATTAATTTTGTTTTTTTTAGGACTCCACCTGATTGCCATCACGAAAAAAGGGATTCCCACAGGTGCCACTTCGGCGATTGCCCTCCGTGCCGACAAATCTGCAACAAAATCCATAATAAATGTTCACACTCGTGTCCTGTCACCTGTCACTCCGCCGTTCTTGTCAAAATTGAAGGGCAAAAAGCGTCCATGCCTTGGGAACAAGTCAAGCCTCAAGTTGTAAGAAGAGAATTAACGTGTCCGGACTGCGTTGTTAAAGTTCCTGTGACTTGTTTAGGTATGTACTAAAAATTTAAAATGCTCTACAATGTGTATCTTTCTGCTAACGTTCCCACCAACATTTAATTAAGTTAAATATAATTGATAATTGGGAGGCCATGTCGCAACAACGCTTGAAATTGGGTAGAGCATTTACTAATCCATTTATTTTTCTAATATTACGGACTCTTCTGTTCGCGTAGGAGTTAAATGTATATATTCTGTTACAGGTGAGCACGAGACTTCAGATTGGCCGTGTTATTTGTCAAAGCCTTCCAGTTGTCATCGACAGTGCGGTAGAATCCTAGATTGCGGTAATCATCGTTGTACTTGGTTGTGTCATACAGTAAAAGATGCTCCAGATAATATTAAGGTAAGATTTACTTGTATTGCTAAATAAACTATCTTCATTTTTTGCGCGCCGGAATTCATGAGTCCAAGACTAAGAAGTTATCATAAAATAATAACAATAAATTCAAATAAGTATATATAAAATAGTACTTGATTATAGTGTATTTTTATGTAACAGAGAGTAATAAAACAATAAATTATGTATGCAAATCCCTAAACTGTTGATACGGGTGACTCAATGAAAAACAGATATTTGTCAACAAGTTTACAGAAGTATATAGGAAAACAATTTTAAATTGAGTATGACCACCAGGTATAAAGGTTGGAGCAGAATAGAATACAATAGTTGTGAGGGTTACTAATCCCTAAATAAGGTTGCCAGTGTCGGAGTGATGGAGGTTAACAGGTACTGTTGAATTTGCAAGAAATGTAAGATGTTTATTTTATTGGTTATATATAACCAAGAAAAGTTTAATAAGTACCTACCTATTTGCAAAATAAAGTTTAATTCTTTAGATAAAATAAAACGTTTTATTTTATCTGAAATGAGTGCATTCCACGAAGTAAGGGTTTCAACAATCAAACATTTAATTTTTTAATTCCAGGAATCTACGACAGTAATTGACTAGATAATTACCTTCTAAACTTATTCCACAGAAAATGTGATAGTGGGTTTTTCCATTTTGTAGGAAGGTCCAAGTGGCGTATTCAAAATTCTTAACAGTTCACTAAAAGTAGGTACTTCAGTTGCAAGGTGCAGTTTATTGTGTATACTAGTGTTATGGAAAATTTGGAAGTGCCGTGTAAACGCCGAAAAATTGGTCCTTTAACAGTTAATGAAAAAAACATTAATATTTAATTGTTTTAAATCATTTACAGACAAACGTTTATGTGAAAGTGTTGATGAGACCGTTGAGTTAGTTAGCAGTACACTTGGTGTTGGGAAATCTACGATTTACAGAGTTATTAAAGAAGAGAAATGTGGTAGTTTTCAAATGCTCCAGGGAAACCAAAATTTCAAATAGAATATCATTTTAAAGAAGGACTTCGACGGAAAGTGCATGAATTCTTCTTTAGACAAGAATTTCCAACATTGGATAAAGTTCTTGTCTCAGTTCGAGATGATAAGGATTACCCAGAAATGAGTCGAAGTACGTTATGGAAACTTTGAAAAGAAATAGGCTTCCGCTGGAAAAAGAATCCCAGAAAGTCTATTTTATTAGAAAGAAGCGATATTGTCATATGGAGAAGACATTTTCTGAGAACCATAAAGGAAATGAGAAACCAAAAAAAGAAAAATATTTTATCTTGATGAAACATGGATCAACGAGGGTCATACACCAAATAAATTTTGGCAGGATGAAACTGTTACAAGTCAAAGGCACGCTTTTGTAAATAACTTATCTACTGGTTTAAACCCACCATCAGGAAAGGGACGCAGGCTGATAATAGTACACATTGGCAGTTCAGACGGTTTTGTTGAAGGTGGTTTATTAACTTTTGAATCAACTCGTACCGGTGACTACCATGAAGACATGAACGCTGATGTCTTTCTAGAATGGTTCGAACAAATGATAGATCTTCTTCCTAAGAACTGTGTAATAGTAATGGATAATGCAAGTTATCACTCCGGACTTATAGAAGGACTGCCCACAACCAAGTGGTTAAAAAAAGACTTGCAGAATTGGCTGAGTTCAAAAAATATTACGTATCATCCCGGATCTATAAGAAAGGAACTTTATTCGTTGTGTGCCCTTCATAAAGAAAAATTTAAAAAATACGAAATTGATGAAATTGCCAAAAATCGTGGAATGACAGTACTTAGATCCCCACCATATCATTGTGAATTAAACCCGATTGAACTGGTATGGGCACAGATAAAGAGTGAAGTTTCAAGAAAAAATACCACTTTTAAAATTCTTGATGTTAAACAGTTGTTTTTGGAGGCCGTAAATAATGTAAAACCTGAAAACTGGGAAAAGGCAGTAAATCACACTATTAAAGAAGAGGAAAAAATGTGGAAGCTGGACAATATTACTGATAAAATGATCGAGCCAGCTATTATAAATCTTGGTTCTGTAAGTTTTATATTAATATTTTTATTCATCTATTTAACATACCTTAGACGGTTTTAAAAACTCTTTTTCTCTTTTGTAATTTTTAAAAATTAAAAAAAATGTGAATTTTTTAAAACCCTTTTTAATGTAGGCCAGTCAGTTCTAATATAGTGTGTGATAAAAGAGGTCACTTTTGTTTACATACACATAACACTTTATAACACTGAAATAATTCATTTATTTTTTACAATTATTCAAAGTAATTTTTCAATTAATCTTGAGCACGGTACCAGTTAAAATTATGCTAATTACTCTCTCGTTCATAAAAATAAACTATAGCCAAAAGCAAATACCCTGAATCTGCATCTTGTTGTCATCAATTTTTTAATGATTTGTATGCTTTTATTTAAATCAATTTTATAACTTTATTTGTACTAAAACTTGCCAAGCAAGATCTAAGTAATTTAAAAAATGACATTCCTTTGAAAGCAAAATAATACTGTAGATTTCATGAAAATTACGGTTAAGTTTACCAATAGTACAAGCTGATTATAGCCGCAAATGTCAAACATGGAACAAAAAATTTCGGTATAGTAGTGTTGGCAAGTGTTTATAATGTAGATGCTGTATGCTTCAAATATAAAGAGATAAAGCTTTAGAAAAGTACATTTTGTTTATAATATGTTATGAATTCTGCAATTTTTAATTGATATGCAACAATAATGAGTAAATATTTGTTTCTTTGGAGATTAATTGTAGTTAATTATTAGAAATTTTTTTGGCAATTACCCTTTGATAGATTAGGGGATAGATTTGGCAATCGTCAAATCAGCAGTTGCCAGATTGCAATAGATGGTTGCAATTAATCTCGAAAGAGACAAATATCTACTCGTTATTGCTTCATATAAATTAAAAATAGCCGAATTCATAAAATAGTATAATCAAAATGTACTTTTTAAAAGCTTTATCTCTTTATATTTAAAGCATACAACATATGCATATCGTTCTACGTATGTTTCACTGAGCATCACGCTCATTTGGTCGTCAAATTACTCTTAAACGTCAATTGAAACTATAGAGGGAAAATATGGATTTATCTCTAAACAGAACGTTTTCCCAGTCGTCATTATTCTCGTTTACGTGTGCTCTGGCAAATTGCAATCCAACTCTGCGGTGGTGTGCAGTTAATGCTGGGCCTGTAGCTGGTCTTTGATTACTTGTCATGTTCTTTAAGACATTTCCTAACGGTATCAATGCTGGGTTGGATATTATGAGCCGCACTAAGTTCCGTTAAAAGATTCAATGTCGTTGTAAATCGTTCTCTTGAAGCATAATCTACTAATTTTTATAACAAACCAGACACTTTTGACTGTTAACAATTTGACATATATCAAATTGCTAATTTCCCATAGCCTACTTTAGGCTTGTTTACTAAACTAAGTAGAAAACGAGGATTTATTGATGGAAAATATGAGTAGTTGTTAAAGTCAACTTATAAAAAAAAACGCCCTGTATCTTGAAAACGGATGGCGTTACAAACATTTTTTACTAAACAAACCCCAATTATTTTTCAGTTTTTTACCTACCCTAAAGACGGGGTTACCTTTTTTTCAAACACCCTGTATATCGAAAACAAAACTATAAAAACCTACAGGATGATTCATATTAAACTGACAGATAGATTTTATCTTTTTGTAGATAACTATATTATCAACTCTCCTTTTCATCACATATTGATTTCTCTCATTGTAAAGCAACTTTTTTTATTGAACTAATGTTTCTTTGCGGTTTAAAATATCGGAAATAATACACAATTGTTTTGAACAACTTTGTCCCTGTTTTGCACAAGGGTAGAAAACTAAATATTAATAAAAATAAGTATATTTAAATGCAATATGTACGTTCTAGGCTGGAACAAATTGCGAGAAATGCGAGAATAGTTGCAGCAAACAACGCCCCGAGGGTTGTGTACATACATGCCCGAAACCATGTCATCCTGGAGGCTGTCCACCTTGCAAAATAATGATTAGAATCAAATGCCACTGTGGACTTAATCAGCCCTACGTCACTTGCGTTGATTGGTTGAACGAAGAGAAAAAAGTGGAGTTGCAGACGTGCGGTAACCAATGTCCTAAAAATGTAAGTAGAGTAAAATATTTTATATAAAATTAAAAAGTCCCCTTTTTATCTATGGTAGAGTTCCGGATCAAAATTTGTTTAGGTATATACATAAATAATGATTGATTTATCCCATGGATAATGTTTCTTCATCAATTCGATTTCGTTTATATTGATTTTTTGTTCGTGTGTCTCAAATTCTGTTTTTCCATTGTTCAACATACTATTTTTCTGGACTTTTCTTTAGCTTTACTTCAATGTTTTCCAATTTGTCTTGGTTTTATCCAGTTTTTCCCGGTTTCTTATTATTTCGTCCACCTTTCCCTCTTGATCTTTTTTTTTTCATTTTAAACATATTTTTAAATATGTATATATGTATATTTTAAATATGTAATAAGAAGTGTTTTATTGGTTGCTTATTTTAATGCCTCTCGGTGCAAAGTACACTATCCGGATCGATCCCTCAAACTGTTAGTTTGTTATGTATTCAATACACTGATAAGAACTGAAATATGCTTTAATAGGTATCTCCTTTGTTGTATTTTACCTGTTGTTTCTTTTAAGGCTGTCTGAACACTGTCACAGCAAGAGACGTTCGATACGGCCCGAGATTTCGAATTTTGTTTCGGAAAATCACATTCGTCTTAATACACTCGGGACGTTTCTTAATTTCAATCACTGTTTGTAATAATAATTGTATAACTTGTCATAGTAACGGATGATATTATGATTGATGATTTTATTTTTTTAGTACGAGTGCGGCCACAGGTGCAAAGCCAACTGCCACCCTGGCCCATGTCCGAACGCAGATCAGTGTAAAAAGAAAGTAAAAGTGCCGTGTAAATGCAAAAGGATAAAGAAAGAATTCTCCTGTGAGACTCTTCGTAAAAACGAGGCGGTCGTTCCTTGCGATGAAGTTTGCCAAGTCAAGAAAGAGGAAAACAGAAAACTAAGAGAAGCGGCCGAAGAACAAAAGAGAATCGAAGAGGAGGCGAAAAATAAGAAAGAATTAGAAAAGTACCAAAAGATGTTCGAAGGCAAAAAGAAGAGTAAAGAAAGACGACGGTATGACGACGAAGTTGAAGTTAGTTTTATTAAAAAATATTTATATGTTATATTAGCTGTTTTGTTACTAGTTATTTCGGTTGTGGTGTATTTTGCACTTTTATAATAGGTAGATCAATATTTGTCACTATAAGTCAATAAATACAGTGTTTTTATATACGGTGTTTTCTTGAAGGACTGGTACTTATAATGGGAATATTTTGTCATCAAAAAGACAAATTAATGAGAACATACAAATGACTGTCTACCAAAAAATTTTCTAGTAGGTTTCAAATTGGAACTTTTTTCAAATCAAAGTTTAGGTGAAAAGAAATGATTTTGTCATTAAAATATTGGTTTAATTTTACGAGATCATTGTTTAAATATCGACGAACAACTACAAAATTACTAAAAAAAATAATTTTTGGATCTCCAAAAAGTCATTGCTACAGAAATATTTACTTTTTTTTAATAACACAAATAAATATAGGGAAAGTGGTTACCGGCCATACTGTTTGTGTATAAATGAAAACCGAACATATTGGAAATTTATACAAAATTCCCACAGCACGTTTAATTTTAAATGCATTCATTGCCCGTGAGGTTAAATTTCCCTCTATTTTTTCGGTCCCCTCACGCCTATTTCTGACAAGTCTTGCTTACTGCTTCCAACCATTTCTTCTTTGGACGTCCTCTTTTTTTTCCCCATTTCTCCCTCCTTCAGTATTGTTTTAACATTTTGATTCTCTGGCATTCGTATAATATGTCTAAGCCAACTAGCTCTTTGGGCTCATATTTTTGCCGTAATTGCTGGTTTTTCATGCATCTTCATTATTTCTTTATTTGTTCGTCTTCAAATATTCTCTGCCATCTTTGTTCCTCCGAAGATTTTTCTGAGCACCTTTCTTTCCCAGATCTCTACTTTCTTTTCTTCCTTCTGGTCCATAATCCACGTTTCACTGGCATACATCACTGTTGGTTTGATTACTCTCTCGTAAACTCGCAGTTTAGCTGTTCTTGGCACATATTTTTTGCTTTCAGTAACGAATTTAGTGACCCTATCGCTTTGCTTTCCTTCAATAATCTTTTTTCTATCTATTTTCTTCTTTTTCCATGTTCTTTATGGTTACTCTTTTTTAAGTATTCATAATCTATAGACAGCCTCTGCTCCTTTCATTTTGATATATTTGTTATGTATCCCCTCATTTCCATATATTGCGTTTTTATTTGGTTTATTATTAATCCGTATCTTTTCGTTTCTTCTTCAAATTTTTGGAAAACTTTTTCTAAATGTTTTTTTGTTCTCGCTAGTATCACACATCATCCACGGACGCTATGCTGTTCCCTGCTATTGAAAATAGTCCTGTTTGTGCTCATATTATTTGATCTTCTTACAATTTTTTCTAATACTAGCTTGAATAAATTCGTTGATAGCGGATCCCCTTGTTTTAAACCTCTATTCACTGTGAACTGTTTTGAAAAGCTTTATTCTTACTGGCCTTATAAGCTTTTCTGGTATTTCTAACGTTCTCATGGCTTCATATAGCATCGTTCGGTTTAGGGAGTCATATGCTTGTTTAAAATCGATAAATAGCATATGTATAATAATCCAAGTTTTGTTCGTAGCTATTATTTTGTATTAATTTTAACATTTTATCAGTAGTTGTTCTTCTAGGTCTAAAAACACCCTGGTATTCTCCAATCACTTTGTTATCATATTTTATTAATCTTTTCCTAATAATTTTTGCAAGTATTTTATAGACTACTTCTAATAGTGCTATACCTCTATAGTTTTCGCACTCCGTTTTATCTCCTTTTTTATAGATAGGACAAATAAGAGCGCTATTTCATGGTTTTTTCGCTATTTCCAGTCTGTATTTAATAGATCTTCGAAATATTCCGCCCATCTGTTTAAGTTAATTTAAGTTATTTTTTCCATTTTGTTTTTCTTAACTTCTTGGTAGAAATTCTTTACCTCTTTGTTTATGTAGGTTTCTTATATGTTTTTAAATTGCTTTTCTAGAATTTCTTTTTTCTAAAAATTATCTTTACTTCTCATAGTTTTCAATCGCATTTTCTTTATCTCTTTGTAGTTCTGCCTTGTTTCTTCTTGCCAAAGCATTCCTACATTGTTCATCGAAGCAGTCTTGCTGTCTTTTTATTTGCTCTCTTCCTATTCACTTTTCCGCTGCTTCCAACACGGCTGTCTGTATGGTCTACCACTCTTCTGCTAGTATATATTATATACATAATAATTCTTTGGAATTATTAGTAGTGCTTCTTTTAGTTTTGCTATTATTATCGTATGGTCACTAATTCTATCAGATATCGAAGGTCTTCAAATTCTGCTTGATCGTATTCACGAGGTAGGAGAGGAAATGGACATTAAAATAAACTCAAACAATCCAGTTTTTAGTCGTAAACCACATCCAGATGCAAATATTTAACTAAATGGAGTCCAAGTTGAAAAAGTTCACAAAATTCCATATTTGAGAACTGTCATAACGGACAAACTAGATCCAGATATAGAAGTAAAACGCAGACTAGCAATATCTAAAACTACTTTTATGAAAATCAAGACATTTCTGTGCAATACATATCTCAATTTAGAACTTACACAAGGAATGGTTAAGTGCTATATTTGGTCTATACTTTTCTATGGAGCAAAAGTGTGGACACTAAAAGTATCAAGCATGAACAAAATTGAAGCATTGGAAATGTGGATTCATAGACGAATGCTGAAGATACCTTGGACAGCCAGAAAAACCAATGAGTAAGTACTAAGGAGGCCAACAAAGATAAATAATTACAACAGGCTTCTGGGTTAAAAAACATTCGTGCATGGATTCAGATATCGAATCCAATTGTGGCAGAAGATCGAGAAGCTTTCGCAATGGTGATCGCCAACATCGGATAATTCTGATATGGCACGTAAAGAAAAATAAGTTGCAACAGCTACTTAAGTTGATAATGTAAGCCAAGGAAATCGGTATATAGTTTCATTGAAAAGAAAAAGACTAGAGAACGCCCCAGAGTGTGAAAATAAGATTCTGCAACAACATGGGGATAGATTGTAAATTCCACTTTAATTAAATTAAACTTTTAAGTCAGTATTTGAAAGCTGTAGAAATATATCACGATAATAGAACTAAAGAAGGAGAATCATCTTCATCAGCAGTAACCAGCGAGGATTTATTTTCAATTTTACACAGATGACTAACGTGTTGATAAGATATATGCAAATGTTTAAAGACTGTGCCCCACGTCAGTGTTGATCTGAATTTATAATCCATGCCCTAATATAATAGAGTTCTCACGAACCAGGTATCATTTGATTTTTTGGAAAATGCTTAATTTCAGTAGTTTTGACGCTTATCTCAAACCACACTACACAGCTAATGACCGCTTTGTAATAGGCTTCATGGAGCTGACAATATTATGCAATGACAACACTCATTCTAAACCTATCACCCATGTCGGTTCAAAAAAGCAGGGTGTGGGTATCACCGGAAACCGAATATATGAGGAGTGAAAATATAAAGGTCTTTTGATATCGTTTAGGTATCAGTTAAGGTATGTTTAGATCTTGAGTAACAAACGCTCAAAATTTCTTCTTATATTGCCCAAGACGCCATCATTTATCATCAAAATTGCGTTGATCAGACTTCAAGCTGGAAAAATCAATATAGGAGATAAAATTAACATCGAGGAAATACGACGAAAAACCCAAATATACAACATTATTTAAAGTAGTGTCTCACTACACTGCACCTGGGTGAAAAAGATATTGTAATGGTTGTAGAACTGACAAAAGAAGTAAAAGGAAGTCACCTGTACGCTGCACAGTGGGGCGAAAACGATTAAAAATTATTAAATCCTCAAGAGGTTGAAGAATAACCTGAAAATTTGGCAGACTTGTTTGTGTTATCAAGTGGCTGGATAATATATATTATGAAACGAATTCGAGGATAATGAAA